GTACATGTGAGAAGCCTTATTTTGAAACCTGACTTAACATATCAGGAAATTAATTACTTTGGATTTAAAGTACACAACTTATCAAATAAATTGTTAAAATGAAGTTTTATCATTAGACATGCTCATATTTCTCTCAGACCTCAGAATTTTTCAGAAATAAAATGTCTCATAAAAGTAATGAAAATTTCAATTTTTGCTCGCCAACCGCAGTGTAGCAAATATGTACTGTAAATGGAATGACTGTTTTCTATTTTCAATAAGCGTTTAATCTTAAACGTTTATAATTTCTTAGAAAGTTGAACTAACTAAATTAAGTGATCTATCAATATTGTTTACCTGTATTGGAGGTTATAACAACTTTATTTACTCCATGCACTGCTTCCGGTTTTGTATTAGATTTCTAGAGACAGGTCATTTTTGTAACTTAAGCACACGTGTGCTACTATGTAATTAGCCAAAGCTTAATGACCTAGCCATGTTCCATGGGGGAAATAATCGCATCGTTTGGATTCAATGCTTATTTCGTACAAAATCAATATTCTAACGCTCCAAGGTTGTAAAGAGACGATTTCAAAAAGGGTAGAGGGGAGGGGTTCTTTTCTAGGTCAATTAGAAAGAATTAAACCTAAATTTGTATAGATGATTTTTGTCCAAGGAGACATAACTTCATATCGACGTTGGAGTTACATGATTCAGCAGAAATACCCCGACGTAATGATACAATCACACATACTATGATTACTTTAATCTCCATCCACTGTGCCGCTTTCAGAATAACATGTCAGATTACTTGGATTTGATCAGAACATTTTTTTCGGTGACTTGAATTTTTAAAGGAAACAAGATTTGTTTTTTCCCGGTCTGTTGTCCTGCTCAGGTTCATAAACTATACAAGGTTTACTCCATCATCAAAACATTTTTGTAAAACTTAAAGAAATTCGACAAATATTTAGATTTAATCTACACGTGACGTTCAACCGTATCGGAATAGGCGTTCATGCTTTCTTAAGATATAATTATCCACCAACCCATGTTTTAACCATTTTATCATACCGATGATAGCTGTACAATGATTTGATTCCGTTTGATGTAAAGTAAAGTAAGTTTAAAGTGAGATACCAAATTTGAAAGAGAAAATGCACATTGTAAGCAATCTCTACACGTTATACTGTCAATTGGTTCTATAATAAGCACCGCCTACTTTTCACGTGATAAGGTGGTCACAAATACCCAATGCTAAGAGATGTCGAGACAAAAACGGAAATATACTCGAACTTACTGACAACTTTAGTCGGTGAGTCAAGTAGGTACACAACACAAAATATCAAATGAGAAAAATCAATGTGAATCCAGCAATCTGTAGGAAATAGTTGCCCTCCCTCAAATGATATTCACATATGAGAGAAGAATTTTACAGTATCATTTTCCAATTTTCCTTCCCCTAACATGCTTCGCGCCTCGATTTCTCGGAGTCACCTTCATGTATATTAATTATGATGTCCCCTCTCAACGATTAGCCGCTGTGGCCGAAAGGTTAAGGTTCTGACCGTCTTTATCACTTGCCTCCACGTCTGGGTCCTGGGTTAGATGCCTACGTGGGACAGTCGTCAGGTATTGGCCGCAGATCAGTGGTTTTCTCAGGCAACTCTCATCAACCAACCAAACCTGGCACGTTCTTAAATGACCCTGGCTATTAATAGGACGTAAAAAAGTTATTAAAGCCTAGACAGTGAGGTTTCCGGGCGAATCTGGTAAATTATCTGTCCTGACGTATCAGAGGAAGACACCCAAGACAACTTTCCCCTTTTCTCCTATTGAACCTCACCTTGGCTCAGCCCAAAGACCGGTGGTCGAATCAACTTCATTTATATCACTTATGTTTCCAATCTTTAAGAGTCCCGCGTCCCCGAGGTTTGCCGTAACCTGCTGGCCACTTTTTTATTCATTCAATAGTGGCACAGTTCAGAAATATACATGTACTTGACGCTGTTCTCAAATTATGATGTACGAACTTTACTTAATAATGTGGCACCTCCCCGTCTAGATTTTGACTTTTCTTTTGATCATTTTGTATTTTCCATAGTCGCCTCACAGGCTTCAAACTTAGCCCTTAGCATTACTGGCGAGTCCTAGAAGGACGAAACAGCTGTATTATGTAACATCACTGACAAGTCCTAGAAGGACGAAACAGCTGTATTATGTAACATCACTGACAAGTCCTAGAAGGACGAAACAGCTGTATTATGTAACATCACTGACAAGTCCTAGAAGGACGAAACAGCTGTATGATGTAACATCACTGACAAGTCCTAGAAGGACGAAACAGCTGTATTATGTAACATCACTGACAAGTCCTAGAAGGACGAAACAGCTGTATTATGTAACATCACTGACAAGTCCTAGAAGGACGAAACAGCAGTATGATGTAACATCACTGACACCTAGAAGGACAAGTAACATCACTGACAAGTCCTAGAAGACGAAACAGCTGTATTATGTAACATCACTGACAAGTCCTAGAAGGACGAAACAGCTGTATGATGTAACATCACTGACAAGTCCTAGAAGGACGAAACAGCTGTATTATGTAACATCACTGACGAGTCCTAGAAGGACGAAACAGCTGTATGATGTAACATCACTGACAAGTCCTAGAAGGATGATGTACCATCACTGACAAGTCCTAGACGGACGAAACAGCAGTATGATGTAACATCACTGACAAGTCCTAGAAGGACGAAACAGCTGTATGATGTAACATCACTAAAGAAACAGCTGTATTATGTAACATCACTGACGAGTCCTAGAAGGACGAAACAGCTGTATGATGTAACATCACTGACAAGTCCTAGAAGGACGAAACAGCTGTATGATGTAACATCACTGACAAGTCCTAGAAGGAAGAAACAGCGGTATGATGTAACATCACTGACAAGTCCTAGAAGGACGAAACAGCAGTATGATGTACCATCACTGACAAGTCCTAGACGGACGAAACAGCAGTATGATGTAACATCACTGACAAGTCCTAGAAGGACGAAACAGCGGTATGATGTAGCATCACTGACAAGTCCTAGCAGGACGAAACAGCAGTATGATGTAACATCACTGACAAGTCCTAGAAGGACGAAACAGCGGTATGATGTAGCATCACTGACAAGTCCTAGCAGGACGAGACAGCTGTATGATGTAGCATCACTGACAAGTCCTAGCAGGACGAAACAGCAGTATGATGTAACATCACTGACAAGTCCTAGAAGGACGAGACAGCTGTATGATGTAACATCACTGACAAGTCCTAGAAGGACGAAACAGCTGTATGATGTAACATCACTGACAAGTCCTAGAAGGACGAAACAGCAGTATGATGTAACATCACTGACAAGTCCTAGAAGGACGAAACAGCTGTATGATGTAACATCACTGACAAGTCCTAGAAGGACGAAATAGCAGTATGATGTAACATCACTGACAAGTCCTAGAAGGACGAAACAGCAGTATGATGTAACATCACTGACAAGTCCTAGAAGGACGAAACAGCTGTATGATGTAACATCACTGACAAGTCCTAGAAGGACGAAACAGCTGTATGATGTAACATCACTGACAAGTCCTAGAAGGACGAAACAGCTGTATGATGTAACATCACTGACAAGTCCTAGAAGGACTGTATGATGTAACATCACTGACAAGTCCTAGAAGGACGAAACAGCAGTATGATGTAACATCACTGACAAGTCCTAGAAGGACGAAACAGCTGTATGATGTAACATCACTGACAAGTCCTAGAAGGACGAAACAGCTGTATGATGTAACATCACTGACAAGTCCTAGAAGGACGGAACACCAGTATGATGTAACATCACTGACAAGTCCTAGAAGGACGAAACAGCAGTATGATGTAACATCACTGACAAGTCCTAGAAGGACGAAACAGCTGTATGATGTCCTAGAAGGACATCATCACTGACAAGTCCTAGAAGGACGAAACAGCTGTATGATGTAGCATCACTGACAAGTCCTAGAAGGACGAAACAGCTGTATGATGTAACATCACTGACAAGTCCTAGAAGGACGAAACAGCTGTATGATGTAACATCACTGACAAGTCCTAGAAGGACGAAACAGCAGTATGATATAGCATCACTGATGAGTCCTAGAAGGACGAAACAGCAGTATGATGTAGCATCACCGACAAGTCCTAGAAGGACGAAACAGCTGTATGATGTAACATCACTGACAAGTCCTAGAAGGACGAAACAGCGGTATGATGTAACATCACTGACAAGTCCTAGAAGGACGAAACAGCTGTATGATGTAACATCACTGACAAGTCCTAGAAGGACGAAATAGCGGTATGATGTAACATCACTGACAAGTCCTAGCAGGACGAAACAGCAGTATGATGTAACATCACTGACAAGTCCTAGAAGGACGAAACAGCGGTATGATGTAACATCACTGACAAGTCCTAGAAGGACGAAACAGCGGTATGATGTAACATCACTGACAAGTCCTAGCAGGACGAAACAGCAGTATGATGTAACATCACTGACAAGTCCTAGAAGGACGAAATACCTCTATGGCATCAGTTTAATTCATTGTTTGCCTCTACTGTATCTTATTCTGAATTATCAAAAAATTGCCATTCACTTGTGTGTCTTTTGTACATTCCTTCAGACCAAATTTGGTTGAAATATCGTCAGACATGTGGGAAGAGAAGCAGTTTGAAGCAAAAGTTTACGCACGGTGGACGACACTTGACGAAACATGAAAGCAATAGGGTTCGGTCGAAATGACCTAAAACTTGTGGATTGGTTTTCATGTAGAAATATGTGAATACCTGCGTGTTTGTATCACATTTAAACTAATCAAAGTATCATACAAACAAATCCTCCCACTCAGGTATACTTACCTGTATATTGTTCATTTCATATTGTTAAAGGTGCGAGTATGGGAAATCGTTGGAACTTAAGTGTATAGAAAACAAATGTCACCAGTTTTTATGGTACAAAGACTTTATTACTACAAAACTCTACATACTTTCTCTTTATAATAACACTTTACGACATACTTTTCAACATTTCCCATTTTGTGCAAATGTTTTTTTAAGGCACAAACATTGTATTTAGTTAATTACTACAAAATCTTAAAATGTACACAGAAACATATTTTTGATTCGTTGTTCTTTACCAAAACACATTTTCTTCAAAATAGAATAAAGGCACTGAAAAATAGTGAAGGCTTACGATATAAAATCAAGGCTTACTAAATATCCAGCCATAAATATGCAACGTTTAAAAAATCTTGCATTTATGACTTCTGCATGAATGTTGAGGATTTCACTTTTTTGTCAAGAAAGTAAAAATAAATGAGTTATGAAGTTTCTATCGACTTGAACTATTGACTGTCATTTTTGTGTTCCATTTTTAACGCAGAAATTGCAAAAATAACTGTGCTGCGAAAATATCACGCACTGAGGGAAATTTTCAGCATTGTTTATAAATCGCTCTAGCTATTGGTGGTGGTGGGGTTGGGGGTAGGTGGGTTGTTACAGACAGAGGTAAGACATTCTTATCTACATATATATAAATGCATGTACGATATAAATGTACATAAATATATACCTATAAATGATTTGTTATGTAAATATATAAATGTATATCAAAATACCATGTCTTGGAATATCAATATTTGACAGTTCCCGTGCCTTATCATGTTAGAAAGAAAATCTACAAAAAATTCTAAAATAATGGGTTTTTTTTTAGAATTTTTACTGTAAATCATTTTTTTAAATCCGAGCAATACACAGGTTACATTCACTAACCTACCGGTATTCGACACAAACTTCTTGATTAGGATTTTGATAATGCACGATGCGCCAATTTCCTTTAGTTACCAACTTTTTTTCTTCTTTGATTTTTTTTTAGTATCAAATTTTCATAGATAATTATGATGGTACAGACCTTTTTAACGTAAAACTCGCTGAGGATAATGTGTTCCATCTATACATAATCATTTCAAATTTTAAGAACAACACAGTGAAACTAAAATGTAAATATTTTGGCACAATCAAACTTTAGAGCACCAAATATTTGCGAAAATATACAGCAACAATATTTACATTGACAAAATACATATATTTCATCCACATCTTGTTTATTGCCAAATATTCAGATTAGAATATACCCGCAATAGGTTGTGTTACCTTACACTCAGACCATTGCGTAAACGTGCTGACAATTGGATAAATACATGTTTTATACCACTAATGGTATATGACCTTCCGGTCTTTTGATTGGTTTAACTTTGAAGTTTGACCGAAAGGACACTTAAAACACACACAGAAATTAGAACGCGCAATAAGTAGTTCATTTCATATCTAGATAGATCTTTTTTTATTAAAGATAACCAACTCATTTTTTACTTGTTATGATTGGTAATTATTTCCACGTGTTTCTGATATTGTCAGTTTTGCATATTTTTGGCATCATTTTACTATAATTTATATATAGCACCACAACAGATGTCGTCAACAATACACACGTGGGTATATAACAAGTCAATTCATTCTCGAAATATCGTTTTTAACGTTTTGGTAGAAAAAGGTCCCAAAAACCCATGGTTCTCATTTATATATATATATATGGTACTTCACTCTCGCTGGTTATTTTTCAAATGTTAATTTTTTTTAAGTTAAAGCTTCGAATTACCATTTACAATTTATACTTGTTATGTGACTTCTTTATTGCAAGTATTTCACAGTTCTGATATGATCAAAAGACGGATATAGGACAACGAAGTGAAAAGGTATAATCGACTGAAATTTAAGGCACGTCCTGGACGCTTTCTATATGTAAACAATAAATAAATAATGTATATGGCTGTAATATTATGTACAATATTGTCAACACTATGACAGGCGACAACCTGGATTCTCACAAATTATGATAAAGAAAACCGTACGGGACAAATTGATCCCTATGTACAGGACACACATAGTACTCAACGAAACGAGAAGTGATTTGGGTGATTCGCAGTGAGCCCTAAATCTTCTGTTTAATAACATATCTTCGTGGGCTTAAATTTTAAAGGTTATTTTAATAAAGTCTTATTCGTGAGCAGTGTTCTTCCAAAAAATATCTGGTCCTCAAGAAATACACGAATTCAAAATTTAATGGTTCACTGATTCACGAGTAAATAAATTCGTAGATTTAGACCCATTAAATCAACATCAAATTCCCCCTCTACAATCAAAAATACACATTATCTCTCATATTGTGAGATCAGATAAAAACTGGATAAGAAACACAGATGATTAGCTGCAGATTGGTATCATTGTATTACCATTCTAGATCGGAAAGCCAACAAGTATGATAATAAATAAAGGGAAAATGAACTGTATTGGTATGGCATATTATGCCTGCGTGTTTCTTATTATCATTAAAATCCTTCATCAATACCTCTGTATCATCCAATCACCAATCCTGTTTATATTACTAGCTTATATTAAGGAGAAAATTAGCCTTGAAAATATTGATTATTGCACGTCAATTCATGTCTGGTGTCTTGTTAACAAGTATGCCTTGAATAAGTGATACCAGGAAAGAAAATAATGTAAATAAACGTCAGGAAAAGATTGCAAACATACACAGCAGCTTAGCTGAATAAAAATTATTAGAATTTCTATAAAAATGCATCTTGGTCTCACTTCATATGAATGCAATTGTTAATGAAGCAATTTACTTTGAAGTAGTTATGTACCTGTCCACCGAGTAGTTATGTACCTGTTCACCGAGTAGATATGTACCTGTTCACCGAGTAGGTATGTACTTATTCAACGAGAGGGTATGTACCTGTTCACCGAGTAGGTATTTACCTATTCACCGAGTAGGTATTTACCTATTCACCGAGTAGGTATATACCTATTCACCGCGTTTTAGGGTCTTCATTTAAAATTAGTACAGTTCATTGAATGTAAAAAGCACCAAGATATAAATGTTTCAGGAAACAGGGAAAATGGATTTTCAAAATCGAATCTTATCTGAACTGAGCAAAATTAATGAACAGTCTTGTAACTTCAAACATGACTTTCCTATATGAAAAAAACACTTAAAAGCACCAAGGCATATTTCAATAAAAAAGCTTTCTTGAGTCTTATACCTAGTTTTTATTAGAAATAATGCGTGGATTTAGCAGACGACGGATATTACACCTGGTCCCTCAACCATGTCAATAGTGTGTCAACACAGTGTCAAAACAATGTCAAACATGAATCGACACAATGCCAACATTGTATCAACACAATATTATCAATGTGTTAACACCCATCCATAAGTGTCAACAACATACAATGTCAAAAAATATCTATTGACATCGTATCGTTCAGTATGTGTCAAAATATTGAATACATTGTGATGGCATTGTATACACACTGACACAATGTTGTCATATGTTGACACTAAATGTTAATACTGTGACAACACTATTGTGACAAAGACATGTTACTGCATCCTGTTTGACCACAAATCGTCGTCCATTAGCAACACCTTTGATGAAACATATGTAATCCTTTATGTGTAATTTGCATTGCTAATGTGCCCTCTCATTAACGAAAGAAATTTCGTTAATACAATTCCATAACAATGACTCTAATGCACTATATATCCCAAATACATATTCCTCATAATAAGACTCAACCTAAAATCCATCTTCATTAGTTTTTAATCCATTCGGAACAATATACTCCAATCAATATGCAGTTCGGGCACATCATTTTCCTAATGTTTCCGTATCTTTCACAATCTTTCGAATATTTCTCACAAATCAGTTACCGTATTTCCTTGTTCCAACATTGAATAGTTCATAATCCTCCACGTATGTCATGCAAAAGCACACTTTGCCTTGAGCAATCTGTTAAATAGTTATTGCATACATACAATATCTAGGAAAATTACCAACATTACAAAAACCACATTCAGAATTCTTGAGCATTTCAGCACTGACGTCAGAGCAACGACTAGTTTTAACCAATCACGTGTAAAACAATATGAAACGTGTCAAGATATCCTCAAGCACACTGTTAAGTAAAACAATTTGGCTCTTTCAAACTGTCCATAGTGCATAAATATTCTAAAGGCAATAAAACGGTGCTCCACGTTAAAGGTCTTAATCTCATAAGGCAGTTGGGGATTATGAATTCTATATCTGAATTTGATCCCTGTTCTATGGAAATAAACTACACCACGAATGGTGTTCAAACAAATATTCCCATTAACAGTTGTAGAGCTGCCCAATATTCTCACAAGACATGGATTCTCAAAATAATCCCAGGTTTACTATTATTGAAATATGTCGATGTCTTTATGGCACCTTTTCCTTCTGGTAAGCGTTATACCATATTTTGGACAGACAAATGGCCGAATGAAACCTAAAGAAAATCAGGAGAGGAACACAAAGGTGATTTATAATATTCCACGCCAAAATTCCGTAGAAATTTTCATGCATTTCGACCACCTTAGTTTTCTTCATTTCGAACATGCTGACGATCCACATTGCCAGGTTACAGATGAGAAGGAAGGTAACAACAGCACGACCAGGTTTAGCCATCATTTGTTCGTCGTTCTCGGCACAACGGCAAAGGCCGTCGAGGATAAAGACGGTCTGCAGAGTGATCTGACAAAGAGCTAGGGCGATCGTCACCAGACTCAGGATTCCCTTGATCGTATCCGTCCCCATCTCCGAACAGAAGGAGAAAACAGAAATCAAAGTGAAACACAAGTAGATGTAGGATCCTGCCAATGCCACAAGCAACAAGACCGAATCAACAGAGAAAAATATGGTCTTCAGGAACTTCAGGATGGACAGACGCATGTATCCCCAGACAATACCGACACTTGTGATGACCATGAGGATTATCTCGGTGGTGAAAAAGACCTTAATGGCAGTGTCGGGTGAATCTACCCTCGTATCAAACACGAAGAAAATTGCCATGGCGATGAGAGTGAGTACGGCCACCAGGAGACCTAAGAACAGCCCCTTGTTGGCCTTTTCACAGTCGATTGCTGCTGCCCCTGCCGGTACAGAGCTGGTCAGTGAAGTGTGACTAGGCCACCTCTGCTTGATTCTCACACCGATGTACTGGTAGAGGCGGTAGATGATACCAGCAGCGATGATACTGTAGATGATAAGACTTGGGAAGAGGTACGGAGAGGCAGATCGAGCTAGTGTCTCCTGTCGATAGCAACTTCCAGTCATATTGTCTTCTGCAATTTTAAGAACAATAAGTACGATTAGTTTATTGCTGATTTTCGATTTAAAAGTATAACGAGACAGAGATTTTATACAAGACACACGAGTGAATGTTTTCTTACGGATTTAGAAGCTGATACAGTAAAACAAAACAATGAACTGAACTGCATCATACAGCTGTCTCGTCCTTCTTTATTTCTTGAAATTGTAAAAAAATAACTTGGTTTTAATAATCGTCATTCGTAAAGCATGAAAATAAAATCGATTCAGTTTTCATTTAATACGTCATAATCATATCAAAATTAGGCTATGGATATTTCAATTATTAAGACTTACTCGGTGTGATGTTGTTGAGAGCCTGGTATTTCAACAGGTTGTTGAAGTAATCCTGTCGGTAATCTTCGGCTGTTTCCGTAACTGCGGTTACGATAACAACACATAAATTAGTGGCCATCAGATGCATCATCCCAAAACGGACCAATGGTTTTGCCTTGTCAATCACCAGCTGTAACGATAATACATTTTCAAAATATAGTAAAGGAGAATTTATCTATTCTGAAGGTTTCCATTTACAGAACAACAACTATATTGTATATCTGGCAGAAAGACAAAAGTGTTAGGTATATCAAAAAACGATCAACTGTGAGCGAAAATAATGCATAGTCTGATGTTACGACATGCTGCATGAGAAACGAGTCGACTTTATCTCGTAAATCTATAAATTTATACAGTTAAATATTTTCACATGAATTTATTTTTTCGTTGACACGATTCTTAATTTCATAAATTAACTCTATTATTCAATTAAAATCAGAATTGTATAATTAAACATTAGAAATATAAACTCGTTGATCACAAAAATCAACGAAAACAAATCTCCCACGAAAATTAATGATGTTATATTACATTCTTAGAACAAGGAGAACCCTACAGAAATATGTGAACAATCAATATCTTTTGAATAGTGGAACAGCGGATATACAATTTTATTTTATATATTGTGTATGTAAAATATGAAACCCCATTAGCAATGTTAGTCAACTGGAAATACGGCATAAAAAGGCAGTAATTTATCATTTGTAATCACAAGATGTAGAAAAAACATAATAAAATGTTATTACTTATAGTCAGACCCAAAATGACGAAATTCATAATTGATGATTCAGCCATCCGAGTAGATATGATATTTAAAACTCAATGCTTGATGCCTGGACACTCATGTAAATCACACATACTAAAGGAAGCGCAAGAGGGCCATTTTGACGACAGTGCAATATAACATTAAGAACATTATTCAAGTATGTCTGCGATATGGATTGGCGCTATGAAATCTACGAGGGCGCATATCAGACAAATAACTACTGCCTAATGTTAGTCGTTTTACCCATTCTAACTTGACAAAGTTTACATCATATTAAGCAATGCATTCATGCTAGCAAATAGAGGCTCCAAAACAGGGCCATCGCAACTCAACAGTGTTTACATTCCAGTGGATATCTTGTGGTTAAGATATTTTCTTTCTTACTTGACAGCAACAGCTTGTCTTGCCATAGTTGAAATTACCCTCTCATTTTTTTTGTTCTTTCTAAATTGGCATCGCTTTTTTTAAATGATCAGAATATGTTATAAGAGCATGCTACAGGTCAACCAACCCCCAACCCAACCAATGAACCTGATACATACATGTTGACTTAGTTTGACATTAATACCTGATTAAATTATAAAAATACTAGGTTTGGGAATGTGTTTAAATCTTAAGTTCATAAATTTTTTGAAGGTCATGAGTTTGGAATTTGGAAGGATTTTTTTTATATCGGCATACAACAGTTTGTAGACAGACTACCGCTTCCTCTTATTTTTTTGTAGGGTATTCCTCAGACACATTCTTCTACAGCTTATCTGTATTTTGAACATAAATTCTTAACATCCAAGAGATCACAATTATAAGAGTCACGTATTTTTCTATTACATCAAGTTTACTGAGACAGATACAAGACTAATGAAAATGTATGGAGCGCCTTATTCAGTAATTTTGGCAGCTGATGTAGCAAAATGTTTGGGAAAACATCGTAATGTTAACTCGCATTTAGATAAGGAATTGGTTAAAATAGCTGGGAATACCAATCATGACACAAAACTGTCATTAGATTTTTCCGAGTTAGTGAATCCTAACAAAATGGGTAATTTCATCACTTAATGTTCATGATTTTGAAAAACACCTAGACGATTTCTGGAAAGATCTTGAACTGAAGTACGATCATACAGCGTCTTATATCTAGTCTAATATTATGTTTATATTAATAATACATTGTATTGATGTGAATACAGAGGCAGAAATTCCTGCGTTCACTATTATCCTATTAAATCCTATTAAAAAGCGTCTTATTGACTGAATGGTTACTTGTAATATAGATTGATACGTGTGGTTTTAGTGGTATGGTTATACGTTTTGTTTGTCTTTTTGTTAACTTTGTCGAGTATCCCATCTAAAGTTTGAAATTGACATCTTATACATAAAAATTTTACCAAAAACAGCGCTAACATCGAACATGATACTGTTAACCGAAATTTCTTTTTGTTTACTAATTTTCACGGTCTTTCGCGAATCGGACTATGTCGTGCTATAGAGTATTCGTTGTATATGATGTCTTAATTGTCGGTGATTAACTTTCGCAAAGCAGACTACATCTTGATAGAGAACGATTGTATCATATTTTTATCGTTATAGGTGGTGATATATTTTCGCAAAACGGACTACTTTTATACTATGTACTCGGCACGTTAACAGTAGTTGTTTTTTCATGTCTCAATTTTCTTCTATCGCGAAACTCGCGAAATTAAATCGCACATAAAAAGAAATCAGTTTTACAGTAGTACAGAAGCATTTACATAACGTATTGTTAAATATTTTTTTCTTTCTCATACATATTCTTTCACCTTGAACGTAAGACAGTGTGATATATAACACGTGAACACATAAATATATAATTGTAACTGTTTGGAAAAGTACACATCTGCTTTATGTTATCAAAAGCACCACGAAGTGCACCTCATAGTGCACTGGGTACACAGATGTATTTCAATATTTGACACCCGTATCTTATCATCATGTTGATTATTTCTCGAGAAAGACAGACCTTCCCTTTCACCATAGAAAGTGTTTACGGTCAAATAAAAATGTCATTTGTTATCTTAATATTTCACGGCCTTACCGACACATTCCAGAGTCTGATACCAAAGTTTGGCATCATTTATCATATAGCTATACTCGTGAGAAATTAACATACAGGCGATGGGAAATTTCAACTGCCAAATTTAAAATTGAGATTACGTCTAATTGAAACAGACAAAGATTTCACGATATAGTTCAGAAAATGTAGTAAAAGGGCTTACCTTTTCGACTTTCTCTGTCAATTTACTTTTTTAAATATTCATTTCATATGAGTAATGCTGTGATTGATACAGGGGATTTTCTTATTCTTATGTTCTTAAATATTTAAATTTGAATTACGCAGAACAGCTTTTTTTCTCTCAGGGCTCAATTTTCGTGTATTTTAAAACTATTTCTTTGCCACCTGATTTCGTAAATAGTATAAAAACGATACCAGTTCTAACAGACATCACTGATTGGTGCACATGCTAATAAGCGTCGATAACTTCAATGTAAATTAATGTTTTAACAAAATTATTTAATTTGTATAGATTTTTGTATCTCTTTTAAAACCTCAGAATATAATCATCAGATTGCGACGAGGATGAAACTAAAACATGTCTATAACATAAATCATACTTCCAGCATACAAGTCCCTCTGATCATTTTATTATTTTTGTTTTTAACAATAAAAGTGCTCTAATATAGTTAGAGTAAAGTCCCAGAAAGAATTGCGCCACATCATAAAGCACGTTTGTGCGCCTCATCACATTCAATGTGTATCACGAATAACAGTAGGAATAACAGACATGCTTGTTTTACACTACATGAGTTATAATGACTGGTCGTATATGTATTCATAAAAATTCATTGGAATCACGGTGTTTTGATTCGAAAGAAGAAGCATTGTGAGACAGGAATTGATTGTCGTTGACGTTGTTTAGAAAAGTTTACCCATTTTTTTTGCTTACAGTCTCACTTAAATTCTTAAAATATGATACCATCATGTTACAAAGAAAAATCCTATCCTCTTTTCTCCGATAACCAGATATTCTCCCATAATATTAGTGATTCGAATTTATCCTTGATGAGAACTTTCTGACCTCAGCAACATACGCTGTTACCATGCTATCTTTATATAACTAATGATATTTTCCCATGACTTTAAGATTGAATGATGTAAGTTTAACATAATCATCAACTGCGACGTTCATTGAGAATCCCTACCATTCTATGTCTTAAGTCGTTTATTAAATTCCTTGGCATCTTATTCCTCCTCCGAGGATGTAATGAATAGGTATATTGTATCCAAGTTCATGTTATCACATATGGTAATTGATGGGTGACATGTAGAATTTATGTTGGCTTTCGAATAGTAATCAAAACTGATCACTCCAGCCTTTTCCTCGCTTTCCAGTTTCCCATTACATTTATCATACCTTCTTTACAGTGATTCATTGTTTCAAAGGGCAACCGTAGCTACAAAGCTGATTTGGTCGGATCAAACAAGATGAAAAAAATGTCACTAGCTCACTCCCCGATACAGTGTGAGAAACAAAAGTATAGAACTTTTACAGCAATAAAACTCGCAGGCTTTCTTTGTAATTATTGAAAAATATCCTATACTAGTGGAAAAAGTATCATATACAAAAATACAACTGATCTGCTTCTTCCGCAGTAAAAGAGTTATTCTAAGAATGGAGTGATATGTTCTATATCCACGTGTGTTTTGTTTACGATATCAATCTAGACGTAATGACCTGTGGTGAAAAGCTGATAATTAGCACGTAGAACTGACAATTTCAGAAATATGTGGAGTCATTATGATTTCTTACAAATAATAAGGAATAATTGATTGTTTAATTATATTACAATGACAACCCTCAACTACTCAGTGTGCGTTTTAACTTCAACGAGTGCGTAAAGTGTTCTTCCAGTCAAAGTTCAGCGTGTCAGCCAATCAAAACGCGTTGACTGTTTATACCAAGTGTTGTATAAATGTTTGTTTAAATAACAGCTGTAAGAATTTACTGATGCCGTCGCAGTTCAATAACACCCAATTATTGTGGTAGAAATTGTGTTCCACTGATATTTGAACTGAAGTTTGATTCCTTTTCTCACAAATCAACACAAATTTTCCATGTCGCGAACAGTACGTACATCCTTCATTGACGTATGTTTATTTGACGGTATTGATGATGCTGCACTTAATGTGATTACTCATGTACAGTGTATGTATTCTTGTTGTCTTAGATATACTGGAACAATGGAATACCAGTCAGCATGTCTGATAATACATCCAACACATGTTCATCACCAGTACGACTACACTACTATCGCATCAAAAGCTCTGTCATCTTAATAATCAGTGTTCACATTTTCTTCAATTTTCAAAATCTTCTTGTAAAATCTACTAAAAGTCTATTTTTCATGTTTTCCTTTCATTTTTATTTTCATCTAATTTTGTTTCCAACATTTTTTTCCCCGTCTCATCCTAGGTTTAAACAGTTTTAGTCTCAGCTTATCGTCACTGAGGACCCTAAAAGGTCGAAACGTCTGTATGATAAAGTTTTTAAACACTTATTTTGTTATACTCTGTCATATTACTATGAAGTTTTAAAACCGTTCGGTATAGTAACAAGAGCAATTAGTTTTGTTTATAAAATGTCCACAGCATACGACGTTGTTGGAAAACATACTGATGACAAGCTAACAATCCTTGTTCATGGTCCAATGGCCACGTTATATGTGTAGCCGGAGTATACTGAAATCAGGGCCAATCAGTTATATAACGCAACACTTTGTTTATTGTCTAGTAATATATCTGACAAGATATTACCAAATGTTTACACATCAAAAACATCTTCACCGCTTACCAATATAATTTGACACGTGTCTATTAGCATGTGATAGTAATATTTGCTTCCTTAGGCTGTTGAAAAATACATCCGGTACATCAACTTTTAGTACTAATTCAATAAAGTCTCTCTTTTTCTATTCGTTTTTAAAGCCTTGTTAATGTGTTATTTATTTAAGTTATTAACGATGCTTGCATTTGATTACCAGATTTTACATAACTAATATTGATAAAAGTGTATGCATTTAAATATAAAATTTCATATATTGATTACATATGGATGATATTGTTGACATGATCTTTTATATATATTTGGCCTGTAAAGTATACATATGGTCAATGATGAGTCCTATTATGAATAAGAAGTATACACGTAGTATAAATATTTGTTAAAAAGGCGAGGGTGGGGGGTGGGGCGCAAATACTCTCATCTGTGATTCCTTGCTCTGAATTAATTTCTTGAGGTAATATTCACAGGAGAAGAGCGCGCCTTTTGCTCATTTTATCTGATTAAACATAACAGCGTCAATGTCAATGAAAAGATTAAAACTGCCATTCCCAATCTCAGATATAAAGGCATAAACATCCTTCGTGTCGTTATGTGTGAAAAGTTTACCGAACTATTTGCTTTCGCGTAGGTATTCAGTCAATTTATCCAAATTGGTGTAATCTATATGGTTCAGAAGTTTTCGCGTATCATTACGCATCTCACAGTCAACAAAACTCCATTAACGTACCATTAAATACAAGTTAACATACCATTAAATCGAGTCATCGTGAAGAGTCAATTATCCTGCCACTTCTTACAATTCGTAATGTATAATGTGCATGTTTCTGGTACGTTTGGACATAGTAAAATTTACTGTTCACCGAAATAGCCGAGTTTATTGCGTATAATCTGTGGCGGTGTTCAAAATCTGTCAGACTGCCAGTTCTCGGTGATAAGCAGATATTGGCATGCAATGTCGGTCTACTTTCAAAGAGGTACACTGCAAGATTCGTCCTCCAATTTTCAAGTTACATTTTTAACTCGTAGTGATAAATTAGATTTTAAAATATGCCATGCCAGAAGTAATCATATTTTGATTTAAATTGTAGAAGCTTTTATTTTGCTGTTGGCGTCAATCGTGTTTTAAGAATTGTACTCTATGTCTAAGGTTATTGATAGCTTATAATGACAAGCACTACATGTCGTGATTTTATATTTTCATATAGAAATAGTCAAACGGTGCAGCAATATCTTTTGTTTACTTTGTTTTGTTTCTCTTTCGCGACTGGCTTTTTCAAATGCTACATTGGATATTCATTATTTAACGTTCAAGTGAATATTTCTGAATTTTGTGTATAAGGAGTTAGAGATTTTATTTTACAAAAGCATACAATGTTTTAACATGAATACTTTAAAACAACGATTTTTATACCGCAGTCCTTGTTAGCTGTAACTAGTTTGAAAAAAGTTATTATCTGCATACCGATATTAAAAACAAGAGGCCCATTGGGCTTGCATTGCTCACCTTGTATTCAATCTTTGTCAACAATAGAAACGCTGTTCATCACAAATACATCAACACCTACACCATTGACATTCACTGTGGGCACATCCAATCAATTTCAACCAATTTTCATTACAAACAGCTTCTAATACTCAACTCTAAACATTGATAGTAATGACTTGGATTATAGGTAATTTGACCCCTGTGACCTTAAATATGGTATTTTGCAGGTTTTGTCGGGCTATTTTCCCAGAGACCTTTAAGCCAAATAGCATGCGTCGGGGTCTTTTGATTAGCGAAAAAAAGTTTAAAGATTTTAACAAATTCGCCACTTGTGACCTTGAACATGGGTCAAGTCATTTCTTTTGGCAAACTTCTATGCTTGCACGAACGGACAGGGGGATTGACGAACAACGGACGGCGTGCCACGGTATAAGCACACATAGCAGTTCGGGCCAGGTGGGCTGAAAACTTCCTTAGATTGATTTGAGTTCATTGGTTGATGAACACAAGTTGCATTTCTTGGATATTGAAGGTCTGAATACCGAAATTATTTCCGAGATTTTTCGCCAATTACTTACATTAGAAATACTCTAAACATAACATTATCTGCCCATCATACGATGTCGTTAATCGAGTGATGAACTCTATCACAGAGACGCTTACATTCTATGGCAGTGGGAAGGACATTCTGACAACTTCTGGCACGCATGGCCGACGGAATGTACTGTTTATATAAAAATGCCAGAACCATAGAATCCTACTAATACATATTACTTCCCATGCCAACAAATTAATCTAAGAAACGGCTCTATCATGTAGCTGTAACATCCCAGCAGAGCTGTTCAACATCTCTGCAATGTTGAAGAAAATACAGCAAGTATTAATGTAATATAGCATCATCTTTATCTAGCTTTCGCAACTTTAAGGAAATATCTAGAAATGTATGATACTATTTGAATGGGTTTCTATTTGGACCTTTTAATGAAACTTTGGAGTTAAACAAGTTTTCTAAATTGTCCATATTCTGAAATATGTCGGGTGATGAGGTTGCCATTTATTGTCATGTCAGCGTTGAACGAAAGGTAAATCGACCATATCTGTTCTAGAACTTTGTCATGTCATTAGCCCGGTTCTCAATTTGAGAACGTGTTCCTTCTTGGATTGACCTAGATTTACAACACGGCTATAGCCGATGGAAGTGACACCGGACAATCTTATGTATTGTCCGTACGGTCTTGCAGTTTATCCATTGCTTATGCAATATTTTGGCTTGTATTCATCCATTTCGTCCTAATTGGCGCTCGGCGCTCTTTTAATGTTATAGATATACATTTTGTTGTTCAAGATTTATTTTGGTCAAAATCTGTAAAAACAGCTTCGAGGTTGTACTACTCGAGTTTGTGTCTCATGCGTGAACGTTACACATGATTTTGCAATTGCGTCCGTAATAAGAAGCATCAAGCATGTTGATGTATCTAACAACTCCAGAACGAACCTTCAATAATCGGTGTTCATGTCAGGAATGGCACTTATTCCTGCCGTTCGTTAGTAATGCTTGGTGCTGGATTTGTAAGTCATCCGTGACATGGGATGTTTAACAACCCATGGGAATCGCCCACTTCCAGTCTCACAATAAAATTGACATCACAATTATAGTCATGATTTGTAATAAAATGCATAAATCGACCATTTAGAAACACGATCGAGCACAGATCACATGAAACATGTAATGTTGCATATCATTGTGTACATAATTTTCTTCCATCAAACAAAATGATTTTCGGTTTCTGTAATTATCTGCAGGTGTGTATGGCATTCAGCCAATACAAAGCTAGTAATTCCCATATATCTGCTAACATCATAACAAATAGCCAGCGTTCTAGTCTGCATTTGTTATTGGCATACATTGCCATGGTTACGGAGTGGGATTTAAGCAAAAACCGAAATCGTGTAGTTTCTTTGATCAAAGTTTGGAAACATAACAGCAAATTGATCTCATATTTAGCACAACATGCAATAAAATGGAGCAGAAACGTGGGTTGTTTATTAAAAGATTTATCAATATCAGCCCAGGTTTTCTATATAAAGAACTGTTTCATGTTTATAAGGCTAAGGATTGTTATGTGTAAATGGGCGTTTTCGGTATACAGTGACGTCATTAATTTCTGTGGGGATTATTTTCCATTCATTTCGTATGCTCTCTTAATATACGAATTCATTCTTCCTTTAAAAACTAATAATGCAAAATAAACATTTATCTTATATTTTTTGTGAGTACTATATCAACGAAATCACGTGCTAATGAATTCTCTTTTTTTCGCTTGAGTTGTGGTTTTATAGATATTTTTAAATGTATGCTATTTTATCCTTCATCTTGTCAGACTTTTAGCGGTCACCGTTTTGTTTTCTTTTTCTTTTTATTTGTATATTTTTGTCAGTTCCCCGAAACATTCCAAGACACTTTTAATGATATACATAAGCCCTAGGTGTGACATTGATTGCCTGCTTATTTCCGTCAACATCTTGTTGCATCATCTCTGATTATTTTAGGAATACATCTGGATATTTTTTGTTTATGTTTACAAACACATTTTTTTACATGTGGTTTGCGTTTATAAATATTTATACTGACTTGATTGTTTTGTAGTTAGCTTCCGGTTGCGTTCGACCGGATATTCAACACTGTGGTTAAATATTGCTAGATTAGTTTCAGGTTTTGTTCGTTCGATAGTCAACATTTCCGGTTATGAACGTATCGATAGTCAACATTTCCGGTTATGTTCGTATGGGTTTTCAACATTTCCGGTTATGTTCGTACGAATATTTAAATGTTACCTTGTGGTTTTTGAAGAGGAAGAACGTCTGGACGAAGGTAAAGAGTAGATGCATGACGTAGACGAAGATAAAAATGGGACTTTTACATTCCTCTGTCGTCACTGTTTCGAAGTTGGTTGCGATGTGGAACCCATCCAAGATTACACTGCCGCAGGCGAATGCTGGAAAAGGCGATAAAGCGGAACTAACTACATGTAAGCCAATGAATGAACCAAATATATCATTGTTATGACTGTGGACATTGTATGATTTTATAAAAGATGACTATACAGACATCCGTCTTTTCTCAGTTGTGAATAACAGCATATTTCAATTTTTCTTATTATTGATAACATTTAACATTCTGACTTAATGAAGGCACGTGTGAAAACGGATTTATCTTTTAATCATTCTTTTCTTCTCTTGGTAAGTTGGTAGGTAGGTTGATTTGTGAGTAAATACATGTATCTAATTTTCTAAATGGAAGAAAATAAGTGATTTTACATGGTGTAATTACATATTAAGACCAGCTTACATATTTGCAAGCGAAAGAATTGTCATTATTACGTACCCAATGCGCCGAGTCTGAGGTAGAAGTTGATACCCTCCCCGGCATGTGCCACACCGCCGGGGGCGGGAAGCTCCATATGACTGTGATAACTTCCCACGGAAACTTGTTCCGCCTTACTTTGATCCAGAGGCTGAACTTCTTCAGATCTGTTCGCGCCTGCGTCGGCCGCGCGCGTCGGATACGGCGACGCAGTCGGTGACTTGTGGATACTTCCATCATTGCGTACTGATATCCGGATGTTGGGTTCATAATAATTGTTCTTAACTTTTACGCCACTGAGGAGGCCACATTGGAAATATATCAACATCCCAAGTGAGAATGCATAGAGGTACACCAGGAATACCTGAAAATGGAGAAAATAAGGGAGTTAATGGCGAACCCGAACGGCGAATAGGAGTAACTGATATTACCTCTTTCTCATTCAGACTTTTCGACTTTACCGAAAAAACGTAACAATACCAAAATAGTATTGAAATGCAAGGACATAGATAGACTCATTTATAAGTGAGTGATGATATTACCTCCAGATAGAACTGGTGCTCTCGCTCTTTGGCGGTCAGTGAAGTGGCCGTAGAAAACACTATTCCGAGCACAACTATAATTAACGCATACAGCCCACATAACAGCTTCACCAGGGACGATCTGAAATGGACAAAAACATACGTCACCTTAAAACCGGAAGTCATTATGCTTTTTAACAAAAAAAAAAAAAAAAAACAATATCAGCATTAAAATATATCTGGATTTTAATTCCTTTCAAATTGTACACATTATTTGAAATGCGGAACACAGTTTTGTGTTTTAATTCAGTTATATTATCGGTTTCTTGTTTTTTTACTTATTTTTCTTATACAAAAAGGTATTACAAACACGTAGACACACAAATTGCGTCTGTATGTTGTTAACATAAACATCTATTACATGTTTTCTTCTCTGTCTTTCTGCTAAAATTCCAGATAAGCTGATTGCCAAAATACAAGACAATGTTTACGGCTGACTTTGCAACATTACCGCATAGCAACAGCGACAATAAACATTATTTATATAAACATTGTTGTGGTGAATCCGAGCACCACATCTCTAACGCAGGAGTTACAACCAAGTACAAATGAAGCCGAGAATACACGTAACCCCACATGCCTGGCATGGAATAGTACACAAGTTTTGGCGGGAAGTGTTGATGGTGCGGTGGGTACATACAGATTGGTGTGATAAGGATGATTATCGTACCGTGTACAATTGTAGAACGGGAATTTGATGTTTATCTGTACAAATCATTCAACAACCAGAACATGGATTCTTGTGGCTTATCTGTAGTGTTATTACTCAGCATGGACTTGTTAACACGCTCATTCTATCCGTGTCCTACAAGCAATTAGTATAACTGTTACAGGTCAGCATAGAGTACATAGGCAGGCATGGTATTCTGATATACTAGTCAAGGACATTTCCATAGAAAATGTGTTCATAGCTGATGCTGCAAGAATCATAGGGATTGAAGGTCAATGTTTCTGAAGCTATTTTTTCTAAATATTTTAGAATGAGAAATGAGAGAAAGAATATATTGGGGTGGAAGGGTGGGGATATTCAACCCTCGAGGTCACAAAATGTGGTGAGTGTGTATGTGTGTGGAGGGGGGATGGTACAAAAATGAGAGAAGGACCCTTACCTCTGTTGATTATTAAATTTAGCAGCTTTATAATCTTTGTCTTTTAGACAAGTTCGATTCTAGAGACCATGTGTTTAAAATTAAAGAGAGAGAGAAAAGCATGTGTAAGAATATAGATAAGCAGTTATGTTCAAAAGCTTAGGGGGCTGGGAGCTAGTCCTGGGGAGGAGCGGTGGAGAAAGGGAGGATTTAGGGCGATAGTAGATTGGTATGGAATGTACATGCAGTAAGTAGAGCGACCGACCGCACAGGGTATGATGGGGTCAATGGTGATATCTGTGGAAGATTGGTTTTTAACCAGTCATGGTAGAAAGCAGCCGGTTGGGGTTTTAGGAAAGGAATGGATAAAGGTTTGAAGTAATTAGACGGAAAGGGCCGCATAGAGAAAATAAGCTGTTTGCAACTAATGCACAGACGATTGAATTTACTGAAATTACTGTGGCATCGCTCCTCTAAACCTTAAGACTTAGTAGTAGATCTTAATGGTGACTCTCTTCCTGACTAACCAGCAGAAAGTCGCTCATGTCATTGCAAATTACATGGCAACATGTGCATATTAATAACAATTATGATGTCATCACACGAATATAGTTTTCATGATATGATAATAAATGTAAACCTACGAGTCAAATTCCAATGACCTGCACGCGCCAGTTGACCTTCACCTTGTAAAACACCACGTGTCTTTGAATCAAATCATTTGGAATAAGACCAAAAAAGTGAATTAAACAAATACAGAGAGAATTTTTGTCTAAGAAGCGTAACAGCAAGGTGGTGATTTTGACCCCTCCACCGTCGACAATCTCTGTTTGTATCCTATAGCACAGTCCCACCTTCTAGATAACTCAAAGAAGCTCCAACCGTGCTGATAAAATACGCAGAGAAAACTGGCCGATATTAGTTTTTACTTGTTAATCCTTCGTCTGTCTTAGTTGATTCTTACATAGATAGTTTGAAGAAAATGTGTCGTCTCTACTTAGAATTATCCCGTTTAAGAAAGTATTAATTTATAACATCTAAGACTTTCTACATTCCATAGGAAAAAATCTCCTTTTCTGGGAATAGCACAACAAATATCATTAAACTACTCTATCTATCTTAGGAAATGCAGAAGGATGACAAAACACCAGTCTTTGTCTTCGCGATTATTTTAAATGACGCGTATCTTAATATAGATGCATGGTTTTTAGCGACATCTATCCATTAGAGACATCTCTATAATGACACTGTCTGCTCATGATCCAAACAATCAAACACATCTCTGTATAATAGTCTTATTCAATCTTGAATTAAATTCTACAAACGTCAGCAAATGTCTGTGACCTTGTAGTTATGTTTGTATAAAATCGAAAACATGCATTTAATATTGTTTTCAGTTTATCAAAACAATAAGACCATTCAAAAGTTTTCAATACACATTGACAGTGAAGTGATGAAGATGAGTTTTTATTATCTGAAATTAATTCCATTTCCTCAAAAGTGAAGGTCAGCTTCTCGGACGCATTACACGAAGGACATCGACTGTTCGAATGGCGCCATTTCTTTGGCCGCCATGTTTCTTAATCCTGTGGTTGTCCATCATTACCACAGTATTAGACCTCAATTGATACCAAGCGTTTACATGACCGTAACAAACACGTGACAGATTAACGATTAACTTAATACTTACGGAGCCGTATTCCGGTGTTCAAACCAAAACCTCATCATGCTTTTTTCTCCAGTAGAATTCACCCAAAACAAATCACCAAAGTTACCTATATATTCCGGAAACTGTTATGTTCACTGAATCAACAAACATTCCTCCTCCCCCGAATTATCAATACAAGACCAGTGAAATCTTTACAAGAGATAATGCGGAAGGAATTCCGTGCTGGGGTCGGTAGTATTAGTCTGGGACGTCCTAGTAGAGTAGTATAAGAGGCGAGCACGCTAGATGTGAAGGGCCTGCGATTTGCTCGGCGTCTAGCGTAAGTAGATACAGGAGAAACGCGTACTGTGATAATAATTAACGTGCAGAATATTCTGTAGGGAGAAACAAATCATTTCCATGCTGAAACCTCAAGACCTAAATAAAATTTACAATCTTTTACCGAATAAAAACTCTAACATTTTTACCTTGCATCGATTAAAATTATTTTTAGATACTATGCGTGTACACCAACATGTTAACCTAATTTCGAGTAAAATACCAAAGTGAAAAAAGCATGACCTTCAGCGGTTTGACGCTAAAAGACCTTTGACATTTACATCTGGTTTGCATTCTTTTAAGTGTGAGTGAACTGTCAACATTCGAGAGATGAAAGACTACCTCCAGCTGTGACTCATATACAGAGTTAAATAAATAGCATGCGATATATTTTGTGGCAACGCTGACGTTCAAAATAAATTTAGCATTTTAAAAATTCAAAACAAAAATATTATAAATGTGTGGTTTAAAAGACTGTCACTGACGTCATCGAGGATCATCGAGCGCAGTTCATTGAACGTATTTACAAATACAGATAAAATAAACGAAATATGAAGATAAAGCGAAACATGGCTTATACGATTTCGGAGTATTCTGACGTTTTGTCATATTCCAGATGAGTCCATCTCTTATAAGATAATGTGCACTATAAAGCCTGTGTACCAGAACACCCCTTATAGTTCGGCAAAGCAATTTGTTGGACACTGAATAATGTCAGCTACAGCAGAACTAGGTATTACTTAAAACAAACAGGAGACACTAAATGTTTAGTTGTTGCACATTATTGTATGCATACATCAAATACATTTGAAATCTGAACTAGACAGACAGTGATAGATATACTTCAAGTTTCATGCCAACGACTGGTGTTCAAGGCTCCTCTTGTAACTTGTATTTCTGCCAATATCGGACACCAACCCCCATTTTCTTTTCTTCTTTTTATGTTTGTGGTTTGATTTTTTTTATCCTCAAATGTATATTGAATTAAGGAAAACTATAATGTAACCACAGCCTCGCTTTCACCGCATAATGTTCAAAGACATTGAAATCTACGTCTTATTTGCTCAAATGCTTCATCGGTTTTTCATAAAGTTTCGGTGTCGCTCAGAAGTACTTTGTATTATTATCTTTTTATCTATTTATGAAAGCACGTGTAATGTTTTTGGATGTTAATAAGACGAAGATAACAAATCGTCTACATGGGTTAAATAGGTGAATTTCTGCGGCTCACGAGACACCGCAAATATTTTCCCAATATGTGGTTCCACTTGACTGACAGCTTCGTCCAATTATTAGGGCAAAGAAAATCGCACTGAGCATGCTAAACCGTTAACACACAAAACCTACAAACTACAAATTACTTTGTTTTGGGGTGTAAACAGCACGTGCATACAACATGCACGCGTTTCAATCCTGTGAGTGATTATAGAGGAGTTGGAGAAGGGAGGTGGGAATGCATGATCATTGATGCTACTATTATTTAGGAAAACTTTATCGGTAATTCTAAATCAAACGAATTCATTTAGTCTTAATTTGATTATTTTAATACTCGTTGTTGTTTATAGCAAAGAAACACCAATACGTTTACCGCATCTAAAATCAAACACTAAATTGATGAAAAACAAAAAAGATCGACACTGAGACTCCTGGAAAAGTACAAGTAGAATAAGACCATGTGTTCCGGAATCCTCTTCATTTACGACACCAGCCATAATATATCTTGGTCAATCCAAATAAGTAATGCCACGTCCTCAAACAAGCACAATCAACAACGAACCATCAGGCAAACTAACGGGCATCAAATACGTTCGGCTTTATATCGCACAAAAAAAATATTTATCAATGAGATAACATTATGATGACCGTAAAGTATACAGTAGATTATATATGAAAATCTGAATTCAACGTTTTCACTCCTATTTCCTACAGCCAAAGACGTGAAAAGTCATACTTCATTTTGACCAGTTCTAAACAGGTGACTTTTAAAAGGCTGTCCCAATAGTTAAACCAGCGATTATTAAAAACTGGGAAGTGCAAAGAAAAACTGACATATTTTTCTGCAGGTTTCCTCTTAATTTTCTTTGATTAGTTCATAAGAGCATGTAACCACCAAACTGATGTTATGTCGGTTGCAAGGATCATTAACATTCATCAAATGAGATAACCGCTGAGAGGCGCAATTCACGTGTGTGTTTGCACTAAGTGCATTACCATTAACTTATAACAAACACCTAAATGATACAGAACATCATATATGCTCCTAGAACGAGACCACCCATTCCTGCATCTCGCTGCATTCGACTACAGCAGTCAGATAAAATGTAATGCCAAAATCTAACTCATATTACAGACTGCATGTAAACCGTTATTATACGTGTTAGGGTCTGTGTGGAATCATAAGCGATACATGAGTCCAATAACAAAATTTAAGCGGCCATCTTGAATTTTATCACGTGTTCATAGGACCACAAAAAGGTAGTCAATATCAAGCGTAGAAGACAGAACCTGTGAGTAAAGATTTCCGTGTTTATCTCTGATATAACTGAGGTATCAGTTCTAATAAACATCATGCTGCCCCTCGCAACTTCCTGTGGCGGAGAAATACGTATTACATGTCACAGCTGGCTAACCATCTGACATCGCCGCACGCGCCGTGGTCGCGCGCACGTGACCCAGCATCTGTCGGAATTACGAGGATCCCTCCACTCGATTTATCTACATTAATTTCCTGTGACCCTTATCTCATTATGTGATCATCTGATGCAAAAGGTCGCAAAAATTGTTAGTCTAAGTGGATATCCACGTGTTCTATCGGGATATGAGCTTCCGAGCACGTGACTAGGTTCCGTTATCTCTGTGACCTTCATTTACTAACATAAAAAATGTGTTCATCACGTGTCATATTTCATACAAGGTATAAATATTATATACGTATATCTATATAGATAATAACAGCTGTTTATCAGTGATCAGGAATAGCTTGTTTATCTTACTATCATGTGATTCATTTGAAATTTCCGAAAACCGGAATTCCGATTAACCGAACGAATGTCACACTGTAACCGTTCTAATACACATGTCCTCTATCTATCCGGAGTCCTATTTGTCTGGATTTATTGAAATATTTTGTTATGAGTGTCTCTATGTAATGGATTGTTAAACATGATTAGAATTCCAGTCGGGAGAGTCACTTCTGTACGGAGGAGTCGGCACTAACAACTTTAAGTATACAGTAATTACCAGTGTGTACATGGTCAGAAAAACACTGGCATGTTGTGTGTGCTTGATTTATGATAGAATGAGGGGGAAGAGGAGAACAGCAACGACGAGTACGACAACGGCAACGACGACGAGTACGACAACGGCAACGACGACGAATACGACAACGGCAACGACGACGCGTACGACAACGACAACGACGATGAGTACGACAACGGCAACAACGACGAGTACGACAATGGCAACAACGACGATTGGTTAAATTACAGTGGAAAATAAAGGAGAAACTTATCACAAGTGTCCAACATTTTTATATCGGTCATAGTGAAACACCGGCAATTTAATACGATCCGCCAACTTGACATTATTTGTAATGGTATGAGCGACGAGAGAAGGTCGAGAGAAATGCAGCACACAATCATCTTGTAAACAAGTAAGAAGGTGAATCAGGTTTGATGATAATTGTGTAAGTTAAACCGTGTTACATCTGAAAACATCTGTTTATGTGCGGGTAATATTGTGTAATGCGATGTTAGCCATGATAGCGCCTGAAACAGACTCCCCCTCTTCCCCCTACCATTCCTCCCTTTCCCCTATCCGATATCATTTTCAGTCCCGTCCCCATTCTCCTCCATTCATCTTGATCTACATTTGTCACTCGAGTTTTTTTTATCTCTATACTTATCCTGTATTGTTTAACCCTATACTCCACCCTTTGTCATGCCTCTCTCTTTTTCTTCCCTTTCCTCTGCCTCGAGGTAACTTTCTTATTCTTAAACCCTTCCACGATATTTTCCTCTCCTTCTTTCATCGTACCAGTTTCCAATACGGTGATAACTTCTCCTTTCGTTTCTTCCATTTTCCCCTTTCCATGTTAATCAGACCTTCCTCTCGATCTCTGCTTTCATCCTACAAGCTTTAAATTAGCTAATGTTCTCTCTCTTTTCTCATCTATTACATGTACTATGCCGTCTGCCCCAAACTCTCTTCTTTCACATATCCTTGTCCCCTCACTACTGACCACTTTTCCTCGCCCATCTCTTGTTTAATCACTACTCTCATTGAGCGAAATTGTCCTATTGTGAGACATCCCCACCCATCCAAACTTCATCTTTCTGTCTGTTGCCGTCCCCTTCCCACCCCCTCCCCCCTCTTCTCTGTTCCTCCTCTCCTCGCTAGCGTTTTCTCTCCTCTTTTTGCTACACACCTCTCCTCGCCCCTTTCCCACCTTTTTTATCCCTCCCCTCATTGCACACATTTCTCTGTAATGAGAACCCCCTCCCCCCGTTCCAACATATGTCGAGATAACCCTTTATCAAAACATACGTTTTAAATTTAACTGTGAACTTTGTTGAGTCGCCCCGTCTAAACGACATCGCTCTACAGTGTCTAACAGATTTGTGCTATATCTCTATCGGAAATTAAATTAAGACAGAAAATGTGTTTTGGCACCAGAAGAAATGTCATTTCCGGTCCGGCTTAATCCCCCTCCTTTCAGAGCTATACCAATGCTGAGGTCGAACTCCTGGAGTACACTTATCCTAGAGATGGTTTTACTGTTCAAAACTTCATGAATGCATGCCGTATTCATGGTGATAAATATATAACTTGGCGATGATTTTAAATTTCTTTGATAAAAATCCACTACAATGTCAGCTTTAAGTAAACAAATGTGATATGAATATTGCTGACAGTTCGTCAATGGATCCAATAGCAATAGAGCAAAATGGAAATAATTCAGAAGTCCATCTACGTCACTGTATTTGTATGATAGGAGTTATTATAGTGTAGCAAGTTTGTTATTTGCAAATAAAGTAATATGTTTTCTAAAAGCGTGACGTGGAACGCAGCCACACGACACATATTACAGACGACGAAGTTTGATCCTTCATGACAGATCTATGTGAATATATTTTAATTTTTTCGCTAATTAAACCACAACGTGAGACAGTGGAAAAAAACATCGCATCACGTCTGTCTGTGCCGTAAGATATCGTTGCATGATGTACTGTTCTTTTAATGGGAATAACGCTTAATTTAAAAGTTAACTGATTAAATAGTTGCCGAGTGTATCACGTTTTGAATGTCTATACCGAGCCTATCACAACGTCTCTCTCTCTGTCTCTCTGGCTCTCTCTCTGAAGTCTTGATCGACAGAACGTTTGTCTCTCGAAGCCAACAGATTGTATACAATCAGCCAAATATTTCACGCGCATCTTGGTGCAATATCGACACGCCCACGCCCTAGAGGACATATACATGTAACAAGGCATGTAAACAGGTTCATTAAAGTATTGTTAACTTCTGTGTTGTAGAAAAAAACAATTACGTAAAAGTGAGAAGCAATGACAAAGTGTATTTCGTTTAAGAGAGGAAAAACATTTCTAAATCATTTCACTTAATTTCTTGTAACTTCAGATGACTGTTTGCATACAGTTAATGCCAATACCTATGCGATTTTTTTGGGAGGAGGGGATGTGGTGGGGTGGGGGTCTTGAATCAAGTATACTGTAAATCTAGAACGTTGACGGAAGAGCAGTTTATATCAGAGATGATTTATGACATTCTGGTTTTATTAATAACTAGTTACTGTTTGGCACCGGAACAAGTAGAACACCAGACATTGGCACATTTCCCGGCTAACAGGTGTCGCTATAATCTCGACCACCGGTATGACCAGGAAGGTTTTGGTATCAGTAAACTGTCTGAAAGCTAACTTAATTTTAATTTTAAAAATGGAATCCATTAGCCAAAGATGCAAGCCACGGTAAATGTGTGCAAGGATTAATTTCTGTATCATGCCTCTTCTTTTCATTTTATGTGAGAGCTTAACAAAACCCATCCATTCATGTTGTCACTCTATATATCCTACTCACCTGTATACAGAAGGTAAGCGGGCCCTTTTCGATTTCTTTGGCGTAGGTGTGGATGCCTCTACCGGAAGTCCTACAGTATCGTTCATCATTTCTTCTCCCACTCCGTTTTCGCCTTCTTCCGACATTTTGTTCAGGTACACGTGGTCAGGCCCTCCGTTTTCTGCACTAGGTGGGTCTTCGGCTGGTTCGTTAACAATGTAAACACCAGATCGCCTCATGTTTAGGGGAAATCACTAAAATCTGCCAAAACAATAGACGTGTCAAGGTCAAGACCACGGTACTTGACTGGTACAGCTCAATATCACGTGACGGTACAGGTAAAAACACATCAGCAATACAGCAACGGCAATTTTAGGGTATGCAAAATGGAGCTACAACCGTTGTCTATTTATCATTGTCGAAACACTTCTTGTCAAGGTAAAACATTTTCGGAACAAATGATGTCAAAGTGTAAATCAACTGTTGTCAAGGTTATCATGTCGGTGCACCTACCGTTTGATTAGCAACTGTTGCATAGGTTACAGAGCCGGTAAAACAGTTGTCAAGGTTTCAGGATCGATACAACTCCTGTTAATGTTACAATGTAGATACAACTGTTGTCAAGATTTCAACTCCTGTACAGGGCCAGTACAAATGAAGTCAAGGTCACAGGGTGTATACAACTTCTTTCAAGGTTACAAGTTAGGTATACTTACAGTGTAACATGGTCACAACGATTACCGTCAAGGTAATATTGTTGAAACAATTGTCGTCAAGGTAACATTGTTGAAACGTCTTTCGTCAAGGTAACATTGTTGAAACGTCTTTCGTCAAGGTAACAGTATGAAAACAACTGTCGTCAAGGTTACAGTGTGAAAACAACTGTCGTCAAGGTAACAGTATGAAAACAACTGTCGTCTGGGTAACAGTGTGGAAACAACTGCCGTCAAGGTAACAGTATGAAAACAACTGTCGTCAAGGTAACAGTATGAAAACAACTGTCGTCTGGGTAACAGTGTGGAAACAACTGCCGTCAAGGTAACAGTATGAAAACAACTGTCGTCAAGGTAACAGTATGAAAACAACTGTCGTCAAGGTAACAGTGTTAAAACAACTATCGTCCAGGTAACAGTGTGTAAACAATTGTAATCAAGATGAAAACATTGAAACCCTTGTCGCGAAGGTAACAAATAGATGTATTTTTGGTAGAACCAAAGATACAATATCGGAGTTTTTTGTTTATATAGATCAAAGGTTATCCAAAACTAGAAACAATCCGGATGATTTTCAGAACACGACACAGATTCAACAAAATCCTGAAATGAAGTCTACGACATTGATGAAACATGCAAATTTCTTACCACGACCTGTGTTGATTTTTCAGACTGAAATGATATTCACACTGTGTATTCCAATGAAAATAAAACCCTGTTTACCTCAGTGTAATAAAGGTACTCCGAATAGCTATTGGAAAAATTCAATGTACGCAGTATGCTTAATACTCCCAACGAATGTCACCACTGCTGCACACACGCCTCTGTTATGAAGAGGACAACACTACAGATTCCACTCAGGTCTGTCAAAACAACTGCAGCTACGTGATAAATCAAATCCCCGTTGAAATAAATAGGGTTTAACGTACAGTATTCCTCCTTCGGTAGGCGTGTTCCGAATGTGAAGAAAACTGCACAGCCCTGCCACCGGTGGAGAGAAAAAAACTGGAGAAGTGTAATCGAACGCACCCTACTAGTATTGCTTGGGAAATATACACGAACGCACCCCTCTAATAACTCGTCCAATAACACTGCTGATTAGTCCAATGTGGAGTAAATATGTATCGGCCGTTCAGTGACTATCGGGCCCCTCTCATCTTATCCTGATAAACACGCTACGATTGCTGTAAAAGATAACTTGCTTTGGGACGTCTCAGCAGTACCACTATACTATGGTTAGCTCTGTAGTGAGAGATGCTACAAGAACGCATCTCGGCTCTCCACCCCTAATGCCCCCGCTCAGCTGGTGTTGACAGCAGTTTATAAAAAAGGAACAGATTGAGGAAATGTAAACTCTAAAGATATGTTCTTTATCACAATCATAAAACATACATTTCCCCGAGATTTTCTTCGGAATAAAACTATACCAATTTTCCAATTCCGAGAGCTGGTACTGTTTTGAATGACATGCAGCTGTTTAAATTCATAATGATACTAAAATGCCCCTTACAGTGCCTCTGATACTATTTTTAAAAGATGTTACATATTTCATATCTTTTGAACCCCATACCAATAACAGCAGTAATGCATTCTATGGTTGGGTTGATGCTGGGCTGTGTTTACACGCCAGCGCACATGCCCCTCCCCCTCCTAAACATCCGACGCCGCTCACAGCTCTAACTAATCATGAGTGGCCGAAGTTGTCTGACCGATGGCCCTATCGATAATTAATGAGTGTTCTGAATAGGAGTGGTCAAGGCTTTTAGGTATCCCATCCTTACGTTAAGGAATTAATTAATAGTACATTCATAAGATGGTTTACACATGTAATGGCTAATAAGAGAGGACAGTGTCCAACTCACATTTGTCCACTCCGTCCAGTCATCATTCATTCCGTAAAGTACATTGGTCCAACATAATACTGGTATCCACGATTTTGTTTTTTATTTTTTTTATTTTTTATTTTTTGTTCTTTTACCCTACATTTTTCAGTTAAATAAATTATGTGTGGTTTTTACAATCGGAATACAGGGGAAATCGGATTAGGCAGTTATAAATGCGACACTAGAATCCGTATTTAATTACCCAGTTACAGCTGGTTACAAATGAAAGTATCCATCACACTTTCTAAATTAATCTATACTACTCAAACGGAATTCTCTGAAATCATGAAAATAAATCATGGTTGCCTTTGTGGTAAAATTGCCCTGAAAACAAGCCAGTTAGAATTAGTAATATTTATTTCGAGTTCAGACTATTCCGTTTTCAGTATTGTATGAAATTGGTTTGTTTAGTCCACTAAGACAATGTTTAACTAATATAATTGGTCAAGATAATTGTAGAATTTACACAAAATAACAAATTGTCAGCAGAAACATAGGTTAACTGCAGGAATGTTGAAAACTACTGGTTTAAATATCCATTGACACCTTGCACTATTTATGTAAACCACTAATGAAGATAAATGGTATGTAAATACCTCGTAGATACAGACACCAGTAACTCGACAAGGTTTACTTATCAATAGCTAAAACCTGCATATACCAACACGTGCATCTGCACATCCACTCACGAGAACCACGTGTTTCGGAATTAGAGAAGTAAAAACACGTAAAACCGCAAAACCGTAATGTATTGTGGGTGAAATAGTGCTAACAGGACGGTAAGTTCTATAAAACACATTCCAGTGTTCTTAAAAAAACCGTCGAAAACATTTGAGTTGGCAGTCGATAACGACATATGCATAACAGAAAAGTGGTATCATCTCCCGAATATCATACTACGAGCCAGTCGTGTAATCGACCTTGACCTGACCTTTGACCTCAAGTAACAGCCGTGCCCCTATATCCATACACACACACATACATATTTATATATAAATCAATTTATGACCAACATATGGAAATATTTAAACTTTCTAGAATGCAGTGCATATTTCTCAGCGTCTGTGCACATACGGTACATACGTCTTGTTTGTGTTTATATTTGGTACGAGGTTTGCACCTAGAAAACTTTAAATGTCTACTGTGTCTTCTTTGCACTCTGAAGATATTGTCTAATATGACCGCAGCGAAAACTGACACTCTGTCTTATCTTATCCCTCGAATATTCTATCATCCTGTCTTATCTTATCCTTTGACTAATCTGACATCCTGTCTTATCTTATCCTTTGACTTATCTGACATCCTGTCTTATCTTATCCTACGAGTATTCTGACATCCTGTCTTATCTTATTCTTTGACTAATCTGACATCCTGTCTTATCTTATCCTTTGACTAAACTGACATCCTGTCTTATCTTATCCTTTGACTATTCTGACATCCTTTCTTATTCTTTGACTAATCTGACATCCTGTCTTATCTTATCCTTTGACTAAACTGACATCCTGTCTTATCTTATCCTTTGACTAAACTGACATCCTGTCTTATCTTATCCTTTGACTAAACTGACATCCTGTCTTATCTTATCCTTTGACTAAACTGACATCCTGTCTTATCTTATCCTTTGACTATTCTGACATCCTTTCTTATCCTTTGACTAATCTGACATACTGTCTTATCTTATCCTTTGACTAATCTGACATCCTGTCTTATCTTATCCTACGAGTATTCTGACATCCTGTCTTATCTTATCCCATGATCAATCTGACATCCTGTCTTATCTATTCTTTGACTAATCTGAAATCCTGTCTTATCTTATCCCATGAGCATTCTGACATTCTGTCTTATCTTATCCTTTGACTTATCTGACATCCTTTCTTGTCTTATCCTTTGACTAATCTGATATCCTGTCTTATCTTATCCTTTGACTTATCTGACATCCTGTCTTATCTTATCCTACGAGTATTCTGATATCCTGTCTTATCTGATCCTTTGACTAATCTGACATTCTGTCTTGTCTTATCCTTTGACTAATCTGATATCCTGTCTTATCTTATCCTTTGACTAAACTGAAATCCTGTCTTATCTTATCCTACGAGTATTCTGACATCCTGTCTTATCTGATCCTTTGACTAATCTGATATCCTGTCTTATCTTATGCCATGAGTATTATCACATCCTGTCTTATCTTATTCTATGAGTGCTCTGGCTTATCTGCCCCTTTGATATTCTGATATCCGCTTTAATAAATTCATAAACCATCCGTGTTTTCCGACACTTGTCTAATATGACCGATGTTTTGTTTAACAAAGCTGTCGTATTGAGAGGTTTCACAATAATTATCAAATCATAGAATCAATAAACATGGTGTAGTCGAGTTATCTTTGTTTGCAGATGTTTGTGTCCCGATGGACCCGTGTAATCTGTCTCTCAAACACTTTTAAATCCTGCTGCATTGAAATATTCTCATTTCTTGCAAAAAAACCCACAATACAAAACTTCTGTAGTCAAACGCTGTGTTTAACGTAATGAAATTTAATGTATAATAAACCGGTCGTCAGTTTGTATAAAAAATGTCGGTTTTGGCAGGTTTTACTCTAGACAACTCTCAACCTGTCTAATCTGATATCCTACCGGGAACAAAACGTTAAAAAATTCTGATAACATGAACAATCACTGTAAAGAATTAATTCAGTAATATAATCGGTTACAATCAACCATACATATAAACATGCACTGTGTAATGGAATTAAGAAACAAACTTTTAGTTTAGGTTTATACATTCTCTCCGTATTCCGACAGACTCTCTTTTCCAACAAACAAGCTGGCGCATAGTAATAATATTTCCTTTTGTTTTGAACCCTTTCTACAAAAACGACCCGTGTATTCCGAATCTTGTTTAACTGACCAGTAACATTCAAAGTAGATAAATCGAAGACAAACTCGAGATGGCCACACATCTAAAGAAAGAAAACTATTTCTGCTTTTTTAGAATGAATTAACATATCAAAAAAATCTTAACAGAAGATAAAATGTTGACTTACCGCCATTGGGTATAATTCACCAGCCCAGAGACCAGAAACGTTAAAACCTGTGAGCGGAGACAGCTAGCAACCTTGCTGAATCTGTAAGGAGAAAAAGGGAACAATTTTATGTGGATTTTTTAATTACATTTCCCAGGCTTCGTACTTGTGAAAATTGTGGGAGATATATACCAGACCGGAGCTGACGACTTTACCGTGAACATTTGTAGGCCTGCAGGTTAGCATCGGCCTAAACGGCATTACCACCTGGAACTTAGGGACCTTTGTAACCTCTTGGTCAAAGTAAAACCGCCCGCATCAATGAGTCGACGAATTCAAAGTGATAAGAGAGGGATGTTTCATTTATGTCTGTTAAATTGTTTTAACATCTTTATCATTTTTGAACTATGGACATCAAACATATATATATATGTATATGAACAAAATTCATAAAAAATTTAAGTAAAATAGTATTTTTATGTATTTTTTTACGAAGATCACGCGTGTAATTGAATTGGTATTTATTGCGTTTTGTATTGTGTGTGACTCCATGTATGTTTGCAAGTTTTTGCACGTGATTTATTTGCATGCTAACTACACGTGTGTATAACGCTCATACATCATTTTATCATAAAGCACGTTCACCAAACACCGTAAGATACAATACTAAAGAAAACATGGTCATCGAGCAATAGGAAGAAACGTTTAAAACAGAGTTTAAGATGTTGTGAAAACGATCGTTATCTTGTGAAACTGATAACACAATAGCTTGTGTGAAATTTCTGATTAAAACTAAGCCCGCTTAAGCTCGAATATTCAGTATTCAAAGGGACTTACCAAGCCGTCGAGTTAGATAATCTCCAAAAAGCCTTAATTTCTTATCGGAGGTTTTCAATTACTGCTCTCATCCAACATCTTTGAAAGATGGCGTCCAGAAGATTGCAAAAGTTATTTGAAAATTCTTTGAAAGATCCGATTTCACACACAACGGGGTACTGTTTCTGACAGCTAGATCGACGGAACAGCCAAGCGGTAACGCGGTGCATAAACTGTCTTTTGTGGGGGCGTCCGTAGAACAGCGACACGCCCCGGGAACAGATTTTACCACTGGTATCCATGACAACAAGAACAGACCTAGATTTTGTCTCGTTGTTATTTTTCTGTCAGTGTATCTTTCTGTATCAAGGATAGAATCACGTGTTAGATAAAGTGCTTCAAAAGAGAAATCTTTTGCACGGAAACCTACTTTAAAAATCTTTTCGTTTTTTTTTTTTTTTTTTACCTACT